AGCTATAGTTCGATAAAACGGCAGATGAAAACACTAAAATCAATGATTTTTTTTCAGTGACTGTGTGACCTTGTGTCTGACACATTCATATGCAAATGACTAATCTGTGAAATAAACAGGGGCGGAGACAAACCACTCAAATGTTTGGAAACACTCATTGTGTGTCAGATAGCTACTGATAACACATCCTAACATTGCTTTGTCTTGAGTTAATCTTTGAAACTTATAGGCACACAAATTAAACCTGTGTTGATTTTAGAAAACACTACTGAAGCTGCCTTGCTTTCCTTCAGAAAATCTACATTTTAACCAACTTACATGACATTCTAGGTTACGTTGAGTTTGTCAGATGAAAATTTATAGTGCATTTCATCAATTAATAAATAAATGTGAAAATCGGAATTTTCAACACAAATAATAGTCTCGCTACCTTAATAATAACCTTAATAGTACCGGGTATCATACATCAAAATCAGAAATAGCAATGTAGATATTTTGTTTAACTTTTTCAGTATTATATGTATTGTATTTCATTACTAACATTTTATTGCTGTCAACAAATGAAAACTATTTCTAAGGATCCGATAAATTTATTATTACATATATTATTATTATCATTATTATTATTATAGAGAAAATACAATAATTTTCCTAATATTTATTATATTAACAGACATCCACTAGCAGTTCTCTTCGTCTGCCACTTTCTAGCAACATCCTACGTATAATGCTGGAGTATCTGTACACGGATGATGCGGTATCTCTACGGGAGTGTACAAATGTGGAGTTACTATGTAACATCCTTGCAGTATCAGATCAGTACTTGATGGTCAGACTGAAGGAAATCTGTGAAGTTACTCTGGCTAACTCTAGTGAGTATCACAATTGGGACCAATTGTAAATCAGTGTTCATTTAAAAGCGGGTTAAATTCTATTCATATAGTGTTGTAATATTCAAAAAATAGAGTGATAACATCAGAATGTGTATGTTTGCTGCTAGATACTGTGAAATACTTTATTTTAATAACGCTTGGCGAATTCTGCTTCGCAATGATAGGAAGAGCTATAGTTTATAGTTTTTAATTTTCTTTTTGTAAAACCTTTTTTAGCTCTGCTGTCGACTTTGTCAAGCAGAGCTTATCATATGAGTGATTGTCCGTCGTCGTCCGTGTCAATGTTTTACTTTTTTCGACTTCTTGAAAGCTACAAGCCTGAATGCTTTGATACTTGGTGTATTCATTTCATGATGATATCTTCAATTCTCTAATTTCGATGAATACTTTTGTTATTTTTGGGAAAAAGTGATATTTTTGAATTCTTGTGGAAAACAGCAAGTCCAATTGTTTTGATATTATACATATTGTTCATTTTCTAATGATATCTTCAGTTCTTTAATTGAAATGTGCATTGCTAACAGCGGGGCTATCTCAGTCGACAGGCTGCTTGTTATCCATATTTTATGTGTCTAATAAATATTATTATCAGATTATCAGTATCAATAGGACTGCTCACTACTCCACAAGGAGGTCTTCATTATATACTTTCTGCTAATAAATAAAAATATATGTGTCTATTACTTGCAGTCACAATGCGTAATGTTGCTGAATTGCTAGACTTTGCCACAGTATACAATGCAAGACAGTTGAAAAACACATGCATACAATTTATATGTTTAAATCTTGCTACCTTGTTAGAAATGAGGTAAGCACTATCTCTCAATTTTTCATACATTCTTTCTATATGATTATATTTCTTGAACTGATACAGTCAAACCTTTGTTAGTGATCACATCTATAGTGAATAGTGCCAATGGTGACCATTTTAGGCAGTCTCAAGGCATATGAGTACATGTATGTAATGTATGAGCAACCTGTGTATAAAACCCACCTTATGTAACCATCCTTTCAGCAATATTTTTGCATTTTCGCTTTTGTTTGAAGACCAAAATAATAATTTACATTCTGTTTATAAAACAATTTTGAATTTCCTTCAAAATAAAATAAGTCAAACTTATTTACCATCTCATTACTTTCTGGAGAACTAATATGCCTTGTACTTGTGTGATCACTGTACACAGGTTTGACTGTACTACAAGGATGCATGAAACAGTCCAGCATATAGTATCATCTAGTGTGCATCTGAGGTTGAGTCAACTGAGTATTTTCTGAGTACATAATTTGCGGTATCTTTGTGACAACCTCATTGCTAACATGACTACCAATACAGTTACATTCATTACCAGTGGAACATAGGCTGCTAACATGACTATCAATACAGTTACTTTCAGTACCAGTGACACATTGGTTAGCAAATATTTGATTAACACACACGATCATATTGGTTTGAACGGTTTTATCACATTTTCGATTTTTGTGTTTACTGTTATTGGTATACTTGAATGACTTGCTGACCTGAATTTTCTTTTCTTGTTGGTTTGCTTTCTCTGCTCGTACTTTAGGATCGTTATATGGACATCTCAATCTGGGGTGGTCTTCTATTTTCTTTTCTTGTTGGTTTGCTTTCTCTGCTCGTACTTTAGGATCGTTATATGGACATCTCAATCTGGGGTGGTCTTCTATTTTCTTTTCTTGTTGGTTTGCCTT